GTAAAATGAATGACCCAAGGATTGCTTATAACATGTGAATGTGGTTTAAGAATTTAATAGGATTTTATTATTTGAATTATCTCTGCATGGAATATCAACAAGTATTTTCAATAGTTGAGACTGTAAAATCTGTAAAGAGTGGGGGGGGGTAATACTATGTCCCTGGATGCTAGTTTGCTTAGTAATCACAGGTTTTAACGATGCATGCTATAAGTAAAAAAAAACCCTCAATTGTATTGACATTACATATACTGTGCAACAATAACTGTTGAATACTTTGCTTTACAAAAGAGATTGTGAAGAGGGTGGAAAAGAGGTGATTTTAGATTAATAATTCAAGTTAATGATAGTTTTGAAATTATAGTAGGCATTTTTTTTGCTTTACATATATAATAGACCTGAGTGCTTCCTACACAAGTACATCTTCATGCCATTTTCTTCTTCATAACAGAATGAGTTTTAATACAGACCTATGAAAAGAACAAATGGCTAAACCCGCATATTGAATATAGGTGTAACTTTGATTTTTAAAATATACGGTAAAAAGTAGATGTAAGTACTTAATCTACTGTTTAAACCTAGTGGGAATCCCTCCATTTCCTATAAATCCTGGCTATGATGCAGACAAAGATGTCAGTATTTAAAGGTTTGCTGCATTCACAGGCAGAAGCTGAGCATGTGCTTAAATGCCTCACATTGAAATCAATGGAACTAAAGAAGTTGTTTAAATTTGCCTTCCAGCTGAAAATCTGAAATTTCTGTCTTATTGTGCTCAGATCAGTGTGCAAGCTGCTTTACTGTCCATGATTGGCTTCACCTGCAAATGGCAGCTGGTAAACAAACCAGAGATCTATCTTTTATTTATTCAGCATGACATAAATCCCAACCAGCTTCTTGTCTAATAAATCAAAAACTTAAACACCAACCACCCATCCACATAGTTTGGTGGTTTGTGTGATAAATTCTCACAATGAAGAAGGCAGGATAACTGCAAATAAAATATCCTATCAGTTCGTGTTTTCAAGAGTTACCCATGCAGTGTTAGAGCCCTTGCTACAGCCTTCTCCAACTAGCTACCCTCCAAATGGCTGTGGGATCATTGGAGTTGGAGTCAGGGATGGCTTGTGGACTCAGAAGTGACGGCAACTCGGCCCAAAATGTTTTGGAGGAGCACTGTGTGCACTGGTCATGAGCTACCCACATTTGCAGTCCAACACATCTGGTGGAGGCACCGGACCAGAGAAGTCTGCCTTATCACATGGAAATGGCAACCATATAGCCCATTATTCAGGCTTAAGATGAACTATAAGCTAGTTAAACATGTTTATAGGCTGTTGATTCCAAATAGCAGAAAGTAAAAAAGGCCAAAATTCCACTTGCCAGATTACGCCTATGTGATGAAAATGATGTCATCATTAGCAGCAAATTATTGCTATCTGAAAACTTTCTTTTTCATTTTTGGGGTGCACATGACTTTGCTTCATTGCATGCGAGCTATGTATACCTTGAAATAAATAAATAAAGCAACCTTTAACCAGCACCAGTATGATATATACCGTACAATTGCACTCATTTCACATGCTAGCAAGGTTATGCTCAAAATTCTACAAGGTAGACTTCAGCAGTATGTAGACCAAGAACTCTCAGAAATACAAGCTGGATTTCAAAGGGGCAAAAAAACTAGAGACCAAATTGCTAACATGCACTGGACTACAGAGAAAGCCAGAGAGTTCCAGAAAAAAAATCTACAATACTTCTGCTTCATTGACTACAAAAAAGCCTTTGATTGTGTGCACCACAACAAACTATGGCAAGTTCTTAAAGAAATGGGATTGCCTGACCACCTTATCTACCTCCTGAGAAATATATATGTGGGATAGGAAGCAACAATTAGAACTGGATAACTTATATGCAGAATACATCATGCAAAAGGCAGGACTGGATGAATCCCAAGCCAGAATTAAGACTGCTGGAAGAAATATCAACAACCTCAGATATGCAGATGATACCACTCTGATGGCAGAAAGTGAGGAGGAATTAAGGAAACCTCTTAATGAGGGTGAAAGAGGAGAGCACAAAAATATGGTCTGAAGCTCAACATCAAAAAAACTAAGATCATGGCCACTGGTCCCACCACCTCCTGACAAATAGAAGGGGAAGATATGGACATAGTGAGAGATTTTACCTTATTGGGCTCCATGATCACTGCAGGTGGTGACAGCATCCACAAATTAAAAGATGCCTGCTTCTTGGGAGGAAAGCAATGACAAACCTCAACAGCACCTTAAAAAGCAGAGACATCATCTTGCCAACAAAGTTCCGCATAGTCAAAGCTATGGTTTTTCCAGTAGCAATGTATGGAAGTTTGAGCAGGACCATAAAGAAAGCTGACCGCCAAAGAATTGATTTTAAATTGTGGTGCTGGATGAGACTCTTGAGAATCCCCTGGACTCCAAGGAGAACAAACCTATCCATTTTGAAGGAAATCAACCCTGAGTGCTCACTGGAAGGACAGATCCTGAAGCTGAGGCTCCAAGACTTTGGCCATCTCATGAGAAGAGAAGACTCCCTGGAAAAGACCCTGATGTTGGGAAAAGCAAGAGAAGAATGGGACGACAGAGGACGAGTCATGGAAGTGACCAACATGAATTTGACCCAACTCCGGGAGGCAGTGGAAGACAGGAGGGCCCACTTGTTCTGGTCCATGGGGTCACAAAGAGGCGGACGCGACTTAACGACTAAACAACAACAAAGTATGATATAATTCATCTTGCACAGGCAGAGCTACGCAACAGGATTTTATCCACAAGTTTAAAACTCCCACTGATATCTAAGTACTGTAGCATAAGTTAGCTTTTGGACTGCAACTTCCAATATGCTCAGGTCGCCATGATGTTGGCAGTTCTGGAAGCTGTAGTTCAAAAGAAGTGACTCTCCTTAATGCTGCTGAAATGACCAGGCTAAGGAAGTAATTATATTTGTGGAAATGTGCCCACAGATCTGAATGCTGATATGGACTATATGGCTTTAAAAATGGTTATAATAGATGTCTCTCTTGCCTGGCTTTTAAGGTAGTAAAACTGTAACATGGATTCAGAAAGTTTTACATAAAGATCTGCAGTTTTCTGCTGAGGAGATTTCTGTCATAGATAAGAGTCAATCTGAGCATATGTTTGCATAATTCCTATTATACCTAAATGTATTCTCATTCTGTTTAAAACCTTTCAACTTGTCACTAAATTTATCAACATATTTGAAAATAAGAAAATGTACTGTACAGGGTTGTCTTTGCAAAACTTTTTGCAATAAAAATCAACAACACAGCAACCATCTCTAAAAATGTTTACAAAACAATGGAGGCATAAATTAGATAAAGAAGCAAAACTATAACAATGTAACAGTATGACTTAACAGGTTATCTAGTAGCACTCAGGACATTTTCTTTAAAATGAATTCCTTGCATGCCAAGCCCACCATCCTTAGGGTCATAATATACATTACAGCTACCTTGCCATTAGAAACTGAAATCACATTAGTGTTCCAGTAGCATGGTTGTGGCAGACCTTAGGAATTGCATAATCATACTTGCAATTGAAGCCCATGTTGACTTTCTTATAAAAAATTTGCAAAATAAAGCATGCTAATTTAAAAATATAGGATGTGTAAAATGCTTGTGCTCTGACAAGGAGGCAGAGCACTTAAGTTATCCCCTCTTGCGATGATGCACTGGCCGAAATCCTGTTGCATGGGGTTCACTTGCACAATAGGTATGATGTCATCAGAAGTGACAAACTGCAGCTGATTAAAGTCTTCCTTCTGTGCTTTCAGGATGCATGTGACTGTTGCATTGTGTGTGCATTATGGAATTGCTAAAGGTAGTCTTCGGTTTGTAGCAATATGCTGTTGCCTACTACATCACCCCTGTTGCTCTCACAAAACAATGCATACACTGATCCTTAGAAACAGTGAACAAGACATACAGAAGGAAAGAGAGATATTATGCCTAGAACAATGTAATGGTTGGGATCAGTATTGGGGGCGGGATAGAGTAGGCAGCCTGCATTGGAACTAATTATCTCATGGACCCTTGCTAGTCACTGGGAATTCTCACAACTGGCAAAGGTGCATAGGGGCACTTTGCAAAGTGCATGAAGAAATGGTACTGCAATGGCATGCCTCCTGTTATATCATGGCTTCCAGTCTCATAATTCAGCCTGGAGGGTTCCTACCAAATTATAGGACTGAAGAGTTCTTTTTTCCTGAAAGTCCTATCCCTTTACCTCTGTGAGACAAGTTCATCTGTATAACTATGGAATATGTCTACCAAGACTTTCCCACAGTGCTTTGAGATGGTCCCATTTGCAGCCGACACCAAATTATCCCCAGTGGTTAAAATAAAAAGGGATAGTTAAGACCTCCAAATAGTTCTCCCTATATGTGGAAAATGTCAAATGTGTGTCAGAGTATTATACACTAGGAAAATCAGTGTCAAGTAGTGGTTAGAATGTTGAACTGGAACATGAGAAATCTAGATTTCACCCTTCACTGAGCTGTTAGTAAGTTTTTAAAAATAGGGAAACAAAAAGGGAGAAAATGAGAGATACATGATAGAAATGTCTAACATTGTGCATGGTGTGGAAAAAAAATGTGAGTAGAGATTTCATCCAAACTGACTTAGGATCAAAGGCTACATTCTATTGTTAGTTCCAGCTTGAACAGATGTGCTGAATGACTTCTTAAGTTAATGTTCCCATTTATTTAATAGGTCTACTGTGGCTGAGACTAACAATTGGACTTAGGCCAAATACTGTATTTGTCTTCTGGATAGAGCTGCCTAAGACAGCAATTCTGTTTCAAAAAATTATATTTGCCACAATTTGTTCTAATGAAAGACAATGGCGCTTTTTCATTGCAACTCCACAATATCATGTTAAAAGTTAGAATCTGCTCTTGAAATTTCAACAACACCAATAAGGGAGAAATTTTTTCACACATTTTACCTGAACATCATTGGCCTTCATCCTTGTTCCCTCCTTGCCAACGAAGATGTCATCTATATCAACAAGAATGTATCTATCCAAGGACAACATGAGCCTCTTCCCAGTCAAGAATGAAATAGCGTCTATAAATATGAGCTTGTGTAGCCAGAAGTTCAAATTGTTGCCAAAAAGAACACGTTGAATCCCATCTTGAAGTCCCAAGTCATGAATGACAGTTGCATGGACTGCATTTTTAATTACAGGTGGAGGGAGGTTTTCAGGAGCTTTTACTTTTGCAAATATAACAGGTTGGTAGGCTGAATGATTTATGTGGAAAACAGTCCAGTCATTGCCAGGTAAAGGGCCTTTATCAAATTTAGATGATTTAGTCAAATGGAGCAGAGGAGAATGAGGATTGATGCAACAGTCTTTAACATTCACACTGCTATGGATATAGAAAGGGAAACCTTTTAACTGGACAGTCTGCAAATTGTTTTCACTGCTTTTATGGAACCCAATCATCCCTACACCGTATTCTCCACAGTACTTATGTAGAAGGCCTCGATTCCAAGAATCCATATTCAGATACTTAAATATATTTTCATATATGATGAGAACATATTTGCCTCTGTTTTTATCTATAAGCACAGGAAGGTCACCTTTCCCAGAAGCAATTTCTATATGATACTGGAATCTGCTGGACTCCAAAATCATGATTATGTCTTGTCCAAGTGCTGAGTACTGGCTTTCCACAAAAACCAGAACCACAGGATCTGTTCTTAGGGGATCGATGGGTTTCATGGTCCTCCATGGTGCTAACTTGTAGGGCAGTAGGACTGGAAGATCTCCACATTCCACTTCTGAAGAGATCTCAGAAAGTTCATTCTCCTGTTTGTAGCCACTGTACAAATAGTATGCTGAAATAACTATGCTCACCGTACAAAAGGTAGCCAGCAGTATAACTGTTCTCTGAAAATGTCTATGAAGCTTCACAATAAAAGTCATGTTGTAAGTAATGCCTTATATGGTTTCCAATGGCAGCAACATTTATATTAAAGAGAGATGTTTCAAAATTTATTCCAGTCCAGCGTAGCTGTTTATGTCACCATTGCAGCGTGTAAATCTATCCTCAGCACAACTCACAGAAAATACATGCTAGGGGGGAAAAAAAGAGAGAGTTGAGATTTTCATTCCTATGTTAATATATGACAGCATCTAATCTAGCAAATGACAAACTTTTTTAATATGAACTAAAACTCAAAGGGTGAAACATAGCCAAAGAAAAATGAGATACATAATAGAAAAATAAAAAGATGGTTGAGAATAATTATAGCGGAAAATCACAAAAGGGTCTGAGGGATACATAGGTTAATTTAATTCCTTCCAAACCATAATTCAAACCAGAAATCTATATAATCTACTTATCTTATTTTATTTATAAGAAAGCATTTGGAGACTACCATTTGACCTTAGCATTGCCCATTAAGATAGTATACAAAAACATTAAAACCAATGACATCACTACAATTTTAGTTACAGAACATAACTTCAAGGGAAATTATAAACAGATTAAAGCAAAAAGCAAAGCGTGCTGCTCATATACCACCCCATAGCACTTCAAGCACTCTCTGAGCGGTTTACAAGTTAATTATGCAGGCTACACATTGCCCTCCCAGCAAGCTGGGTACTCATTTTACTGACCTTAGAAGGATAGAAGGCTGAGTCAACCTTGAGCCGCTACCTGGGATTGAACCCCAGGTCGTGAGCACAGTTTTGGCTGCAGTACAGCAGTTTAACCACTGCGTCACGAGGCTAAATAAGTTAAAACTCCACTAACACATTCAAGCCCCACCGAGAGCCAAACAAAATAAAAAAATTTACTGCACTTTCCCACACCAAAGCCAAGACAGATGGAACCAGTCTAACTTATTTTGAGAAAGAATTTTGTACCTGCTGAGTCACAGACTAAACCTTCCATAGGGAAACAAATCATAAGTGAATTTCAGTAACACTGAATTCAATACATTTCAGTAACCCCTACAAGTACAACAGGTATTGCTATAGCACTCATGTAGTTCCTCAGAGGTGATGGTATCAAGCTCTCCAACCAGCCAGTATCTTTCCTGCACAGACAAAATATGCATTTTTGAATACTAGAGACAAAAATGTTACTTTAATTTAAAGCAGTAGATGTTCAAACATCAGCCTTAGGAAGTGTGTGCATCCTTCTGCACTATGGACATGTGGCACTACAGGGGGAATAGCTTGGTATTGTATTGGCCTTAGCTGTATCGTCACCGTGTCATCTACCTGTATATTTACACCCTTCAAGACAAATAAACAAACACAAGAATATATTCTGCTTTGCACAAGCAGGCTTCTACTTGCACACTGGAACTTTTCCTCTCTTTGGCCCCACACCTCTCCGAATCTGGCTGGGGGGCAGGTCCCTCAGCACTCAGGAGCAGACATGGGGTGGCACAAGGAGTTTGTGGTAGGGAAGAAAAATTCTGCTAAATGGTGCTCTTCTATTAGTGGGTGCTGTTTGTTAAACACAACCCAGTTTATGCCAATGCTTGGCAGACTGAAAATAGCAGCTTAGTGAGTTATACTCAGCCATTTCTGATGGCAGATACAGAGTTACATATACACAGCCACAAAGGTGCTGTTTTAAAGAATCCTCAACTCTCCTTATTCCTTCTGGCTATACATAGCTCATTGTACACAATTTCCAGGGGTTGAGGTTCCTACAGAAGCACTGGCAATAACAAAATGGGGCTAGAACATGCAATATGGTCAAACAGAGGAGGGGAATGAATGGTATTCCCAAGATATCCCCAGAAAAAGGTTTTCCAGGTAGAGTATTTGCTACCTGGAAAACCCTGAAAAGGGTCATCCTAAGTAGAATTGACTGGAGAGCACATGATGATGATACCAACGCAGGTTTCTTATTCTTTTCATCAAGCCAGTTCCTGCACATTGTTCAAATTCTGCTTCAAAACCAATTATTAACTACAATTAAAGCAATACTAATTTTTAATTGCTACTTGAGTGTCTCCTTATAAATACAGTCCAATGATCTGATATCCTTGTATATAGTTCTTTCCTTAAGAGCACTTTCCAAAACAAACACACACTTCTCTATCCCCAACCTATCATCTTTAAAATGGTCAGTAGGTTTCCAGTCCTCAAGCTCTTCCTTGGAAACAAGCCCAACAATTTCAGTTATTGGCTAGGCTGGTAGAAAGACAAGCCTTCTGATTATGGCTACTAACCCAGCCCATAACTGAAACTATTCACCTTCTTTCTTCCTACAAAGAACTATAAGCATGCATAGTTGCCTATAAGCATTAATCATGGTTTAAAAGTACAGGACATGGGGGATTTCATGTTCCGAAAAGATCATGGTAAATGCAGTATTTACACCATTCCATCAGCCTGAAGAGGCAGTATTTACATTATCTATAAAACATGTTAAAATCATGCTTAAACAAGTGAGATGTTACTTGAGTTCTGGCCTAAAGTAGGCAAACATAACACAACAAAAAAGTGTTTAAGTGACATATTTGTGGATATTATATCTGATACCTTCCTTGTCTTTCCAACTGCAAAAATTATTGATTAAATCTTCGAAGTCTTGTGACCACAGTATCACTGATTTGAGATCCAATATACAGGACCAAGGTAGGATGGGATGCACAGAAAGTATAAAACAGCAGTCTCCCTGCTCATGTCTTATGAAGGAATTAAGGACAATTGGTCCCTTAGTCTTTTAAAGACTCTCCCTCCCCTTTGACTGCCTTGGGAAGTCAATAGAACCTTTCTTCTGGAGTCTGGAAAAAAGAGGGGAAAATAAAATTAAAATAATGACTAGCTCTGTAGACCTCTGTTGGCAGCCTTCTGTCCTGCCAGTACCAATCAATCTATGACCTGGACTTGAGTTTATGTTTCATCATTTGCACCAATGGGGTCTTCACAGTGAACTGGAGACAGCCAATTACCATCATGGATCCAGAGGAGGATCAGGTGGGAGTGTTGCTAAAAGGGGACGAGGGATGTCACAAAATGAGGCACTTCTACATATCCGTACTCTTAAAAAATACCCCAAAAGATATGCATTTATGGTCACAAAATTTGTCATTTTTGGATTTCTGAAGCAGTGGTAATGTGAAATGAGACATTTTATAGTTTGAGCTGCTGCATTAGCACAGTGGCATGCTGTAAATTTATATCCCATATTTTTACAGGATTATATGAGCAGCCTTGAGTCTATAATACTTTCTCTTAAATATTTAGGAGATAGAAAGGTATGAGAGAAAGATATAGACAAATATATAAACAGAGTGGTCGTATAGACCAGATGGGTGGGATACAAATCAAATCAAATCAAATCAATCAATAAATAAAATAAACAAATAAATGTATATTTAATTTTAATACATCAAAAACTGAGCATTGGCCTAGCTTTAAGTCAATGGAAACAGTGATCCCCATCAAACATCTTGGGACTTGCCTGGAAGTAACAATTCTTGACTTCAGCTTAATAATCAGTCCACATTCAAATACTTAACTGTTGAAGAAAATAATTACATTTTCTTGTTTATTGAAAAATACCTGTATACTAGGCGCTGGAAAACATGAGTGGGAGGACAGAATTTATTTAAAGTTTTTTTTAAATTATTGTTTGCCATTTTGAACCCAACAAGTTCAACTTGTTGGGTTCAAAAGCAAAAATGTTATATTTCTTGAAATACTGTTCCACCTTTAATATAGTTTTTTTTCCTGAAGGATACCAAATAAAATCTACCTGTTAATATGAAATCAACTTATTCATTCCACAAATACAAATGCTGAAACATAGTGAAAACACAAAGCGATCAGTGTAATCTTGTTTGTCTACTTAGAAGTAAGTTCTATTGAGTTCAGCTGGGCTTATTTCCAGGTACAGGGCACAGTTCTGCAGTCTAGGAAACTACATATCCATCCTCTCCCCTCCTCCATAATTCAATCTGATTTTTAACTTTTTAAATTTATTTTAATAACACTTCATTATTCTTGTCATATACACTATTTCCCAGAAAATAAGACCTAACCTGAAAATAAATCCTAGTATGACTTTTCAGGATGCTCATAATATAAGCCCTACCCCAAAAATAAGCCCCAGTTAAGTGAAACCCCACCCTCCACCATTGTGCAGCCACCAGAAGATGACATGACTGCACTTGAATAAATGTAGATTGTTGTACATGGAAAAAATAAAGCATCCCCTGAAAATAAGCCCTAATGCATTTTTGGAGCAAAAATTAATATAAGACTCTGTCTTGTTTGGGTGGAAACACGGTATAACATGAACTAAGAAATGCTGGATGAAGAGAGGGACACACCTGACTTCTTTCTGCTCACTTTAATGTACTGTATCTTATATTTCTAGTACCTATTCCCCAAGTTTGAATATGTAGCATTTCCCAGTCCATATTTTAATTCTAAGTTCCTTACAATCACATACAGACCCACAACTTCTCATCCCTCAACTTTTTCAAATTAAGAGAACAGTCAATGCATGTAGCTTTAACAACTACAACCACAGTCTTTTTGTTCTTCTTCTTTTCCATCCCAACTAAGAGTACAGTAACACCAGTGACAAATACGAGCTGCTTCCCAATTATATTTCGAGTTTTGACTGGCGCCACAAAGCAGCAGCCTTCCGCATCCCAGAACACTAGAGGGCAACCACGTCTCGTCGAAAACCTCCTCCAGGAGGCAGGAAGACACGCTTGGGTACCAAACTCAGAAAGACAGATGTTAACTAAGCTAATAAAATTTAAATAATACCATTGCAAGCGCCAAAACGTCAGGATGCACCCTCACCCACATCCGCAAAAAAAAAGAGGTGAGGGATGCGTTTGTTGCTAGAAAGAAATCTTTCCTCAGCTCACCCGATCCTCGGGACGATCAGCGCAATCAACCCGCGCGCAACTCGCCTTCCCAGAAATGCCCAGGATGCATCATCACCAGTCAAGCGCGGAGCGGACACGATAACGAGGGAAGCAGGGAGTGAGGGAGTGAGTGTGTGTGTTGGGGGGGGGCGCAGAGAGAGGTTTCCTCCCGGTTCCCAGTTGCGCATGCGACCCCGTCAGCCTCACAGAAGTTTCCTTTGGGGAGGCAGGCAGGGAAAGCCCGGGTCAGGAGTTGAGCCTCGCCGGCTGCGCGCGTCGACGGGGAAAGTGCCCCCCGCCGCCGCCCCCCGCGCGGTCTTCTTTACCTAAGGAAGCTCTGCAGAAAAACCATGGTGTCTCCCGCACGCCGGCGCGACCTTCGGCGGCCTCCGGCCCACACCCGCGTCCCCACCAGCTCTCGCCACACGCCCAACTTGGGCGCTTCTGTCAAGCCGCCGCCGCCGCCGCCTCTCGCTCGCCGAGGTCTCTCTCTTTCTCTCTCTCTCTCCCCTTTTCCGGGGCGACTGGCCGGACCGTGTCGCTGCCCCAAAGGCAGAAGGAGGCAGCGGCTGCTTGCTCTCCCCTTTCCCTCCCCTCTCTCTCCCCCGCCTCCCTTGGCTCTTCTCAGTCACCCCCGGAGAGGGAGGCGAGGCCAGCCGGCCAGCGAGCCAACAAGCCCGCCAGGACGACCTCGCGCCAGGTGACTTTCGGAAGGGACCTCGAAGGAGCTTCCCTCGCCAGGGTCCCTCTGTGTCCCTCAAAGGGGGGGGGGTTGAAAGGGCGGGAAGGAGAGAAGCGGCGGGTGGGGCGGCGAAGGCACAGTAGCAGCGCAAGCGTCCCAAGCTGAGACCCCCGGCGAGAAGGAGAAGCGCCCTCGCCGCCGCCGCCACCCCCCTTTCCACGGGCCTGCCCGGACGGGAGGATGCTGTGGCGCTTGCTTCCACTTGAGAAGCCGAGGGGAGGGACGCCGCTAGCCGAGCTGCCTCCCCATTCGTCGGGGGCCCCTCCTCCTCTGGCCAATCAGGAGTGTTCGGGTGGAGGCTGAGCTGGAGACGGGTCGGAACTCTTCGGAGAGGGATGCCTCGGGGTGTACCAGGTTGCTTCCTACGGTTGCTGGGAATTGTGCAGTCCCGCAGGCGGAGTATTTGCAAAGATGACAAACGGGGCTCGCCTCGGCTTTTTTTAAAAATGCTGCCATGCCTTGCGAGGCTCTCCCGAGAGCCGATCTTTGCCGACGGCTCCGTTTTATCGCACTTCCCGCCTCCCACCGAAAGGCAGGGCCCCCTGGATCTAAAGGGGGCGCCTTCTCCCCTAACGGTGCCCCCCCCTTCTGCGTAAACTCGCGCAGGATCGCACAACGCTTGGACTGCCTGCCCTAGAGCGAGCGAGCGAGCAGCTCCGCCGTGTTGCCGTGTTTTAAAATTGTGGCTGCTGCCTTGATCCCGCCGCAGCCGCCGTCTCGAAAAATGAACAAGCGAGAACAGAGGAAACAAAAAAACAAATCAGGTTGATTCCCCCGAGCCCAGGAATCGCGTGGAGTCGAGTGGGGACCGGCGTTTGCAATGATTAATCTATTGCCAAGATTAATCTTTTCAGGAAATTATTTACCTGGTTTATCACAAGCTTCAGCGTGTTTTCGGATCCAAGCTGTTCTTAACTAGGCGGAGCAAATTGCCCTGTTTGTGCATGTAAGTTAACAAGAGTTGCACTAAACGTAGATAATAGGTTCTTGCTGTCTTAGTTCTCTGGCCTCTTCTGTCCTAGTCTTCCTATCTAAACTCAGGGTTGGCCCAACCATTAGGCCTAATGAGGTGATTGCCTGGGGCAACTCATGATGTGGAGTTTCCTACTCCCCCCAGCTGTTCCTTCTGAGCCCTCCCATGCATTCTCCACTGTTGAAGGAATAATATATTCCAGACAGCTTGATCTTAGCCTTCCAAACTAACCACCTGTTTCAGCAGCGTTTTCGAAGCAAGCGTCAAGGACCAGTCTGGTTGAGTTTAGTATACAGAGTAGGGAGAATGCCATCTTGCCCTTTGCCCCAGGCAGCATAATGTTATGGGCCAATAATTTAACCTCATGCATATTCTTACTCATTTTCTTGTGTTTAATTGCTGGGGCTGGCCCAAAGCATTTTGCTGCCTGAGGCAGAGCAGTAACTGGCTTATCTCTTAATTTCCTCCCCCTTCCTCCCTTAGCCATCATTTCCTCTAATCAAGTTGTATATTTTCCAAGGCCAGTCATGTTATTTCAGTGTTCCTAAGAGAAAATCCTGCAAGCTACAGTGGGGTCTTGACTTGAGAACTTAATCCGTATTGGAAGGCGGTTCTCAAGTCAAAAAGTCTGTAGGTCAAGTCTCCATTGACCTACAGTGCATTGAAAACCGATTAATCCCATAACAGGCCGTTTTTGTTCCATTTTGGTTTTTTTCTGGTCTGTAAGTAAATTCTCAGGCTGTAAGTCAAACCTAAATTTTGCGGCCAGAGAAGTCTGTAACTCAAAAAGTCTGTAAGTCAAGCCGTCTGTAAGTCAAGGGTCCACTGTACTCTCACTCCTTAGCAATAAAAACAGAAAAAAGGACCAAGTGAGCAATTAACACTTTACTACACATTTGTGACATTGTCCTCCCACTCTGCAGCCATGATGGCAGTTGGAAGCTCAGGGTGCTAGAGGCTGCTGTCTTCCAGCTAAACAAGGAGTTTACTGATGGTCCAGAATGACGTGTAACAGCTCTTTAAAGGGAAGGATGACTCAATATAAGTAGAAACACATGCAGATATGGCTAAACCATGTCATCAGAGATCCATGGGCACTGTCTTTATCTGCTGTTGTGAGGTCTTTACCTGTGGAGAAGGGATGTGTTTTTCAAAGGAGGGTAGATGGGGGAGGGGGAGGAAACAGCTATTACAATTAAAGAGGGCAGGGGCAGATACAAAGTTGGTAGACATCACAATGTTATGGGAGTACAAAATGGAGTGCTGGTTGCCTGCACCAAATTGTCTCCCAGATCAAATATTCTGGATAGCCTTGATGACAACCACCTAGGTTCAAAGTGCTGTTACTAAATGCCAAGTAAGTGAAAGGTAAGACAGGTAACATCCAAGATTTGAATGTTTTTCCTGATATTCAGCCTAAATCTGGCTACCTATAACTTGAGCCCATTATTACATGTCCTGCCCTCTGGGGCGACCAAGAACAGATTTTACCCCTCCTCTGTATGACAGGGTTTCAAGAGAGAGAGAGAGAGAGAGAGAGAGAGAGAGAGAGAGAGAGAGAGTGTGCGTGTGTGTGTGTGTAACCAAACAGCTGGCAGTCACTCAGCATCCCCTCATTGCCTCATATTTAAGCTCTTTTTAAACTGAAAACAAAAGCACATAAAAATGTGGCAAACTCCATATCAGACAGATAAAATTTAGTTTACACACTAGGCAAGACACAGTCAGTTGCAGCCAAATTAGGGGTATTACTCAGTGGCTGGAGGAGGATGGAGTCCTTCCTTAGTGCAACCCTTTTCGATTGATGTTAAATGTCCTTGCACAGTTGTAGGTACTGCCCTAGTTGACTATTGAATAGCCCTAGCAGGCTATCCATACAGCACAGTCTCACTGTTGTGGTCTCCCAACAAAAGGCAGTGCTGCTGAATTTAATGGGGCTATTTGACTCCTAAGTAGAGATGGAGGTATTCATATTCATATATGAATATCCCTGCACAGCTGGAGTTAACGAGGGTCCACTCACACGTCTGGCTGTGGTGGTAGCCCCTCTCTTCCTTCCAATTGCTCCGGAGTGCTGCTGGGCTAGCTGCTTGTCAACCTTGCAGGGAGACTTGTCCTCCCTCCCTCTGCCAGGAGTGGCTAGACAACTGGGAAGAGAACAACACTCAGGAGTGATTGGAAGGATGAGCAGAGCGAGCGGCAGTGGCGGATGTGTGAGTGGACGATCCGGCCCCAGGTGGGGTCTCTACTTCTAAGTGTGCCACCTTCTGCATAAACTCACACAGGACCACAGTGTCCTTTAAAATTAAAAATTAAAAACATTTAAAAAGCTGTGTAGCCCTTATACACAATCTCTAAACATGGATGGGAAGCACCTTTATCTGACCACTAAAATCTTGCAAATGAGAAGTAGCTTTTGAGTCCTGCAGAACTCTTCATCAGGCTGGGCATTATGAAACTGGGTAGCATAACAGTTTGGTCTTTACAAGCTGAAAAAGGTAAAGGTAAAGGTTCCCCTTGACAATTTTTGTCCAGTCGTGTCCGACTCTAGGGGGCGGCGCTCGTCCCGCTCTTCAAGCCATAGAGCCAGCGTTTGTCCGAAGACAATCTTTCCGTGATCACATGGCCAGTGTGATTTAGACACGGAACGCTGTAACCCACCCTTAAACCAGGTTCAGCACCTCAGGCAGCTCTGGTGAACATCACTCTAAAACTCAGAATATAGTTCACTGACCCCCAGAAATCAGAGTCACCAACCTCTACTGTGTCCCGATAACTCCAATAATTGGCCCTTTTGCTTAGTGGGTACTCCAGTCTTATGAGTCGAGGCAAAGTACAGCCTTGAAATGGTGTTCAGTTCTGCAAGATGAGATACAGGAATAGACTAAAGTATTTAGGGACAGAAATAAACAAAAAAGCTGTGATGTCAAAACACAATTAACTAAATTACGATAGCAAAACATTTTAAAAATGAAACACAATTCCAAAACATCTCAGTTTAAATAAAGAGTACAAAACCAATCTACTAAAAGTCTCTTTCCCAGCAGCCAGTCTGTTGCTGAATGCCGAGTGAATAAGGATGTCTTTGCTGGGGATGGATGGGCAACAGAGAGAGGGCCAGCCTAGTCCAAGTAAGAGAGATCTGTAACCAGGGATCAGCCATTGGGAAGGCCCTCTCTAGTATTCCATTAAATGTGCTTGTCAAGGTGACAGGAATTACCTCGGGTGCTCTTGATACCAGAGAAACGCAGAATATAAATACATATTTCCAGGCACCAGAAATGGTAGATTTAGAGTCAGCCTCAGTTTTGAGTCTTGCTGAGTCCCCAGTAGCTGGCCAATAATGCTGAAGGCTAACTCATTCAATCCTGCAAAAATATACTGTAGTGGGAAGACTA